TCTCTAGGGCTGTTTTTCTGAAGATGCCTCCGAAATGTAGCCCCAGAGGACTCAAGGGAATGAAGGTGTTCCCTCTCCCTCCCCATCTCACCACTGATAGGACGGAGCTGTGTGCATAAGCACAAAATCATCTGAAAAAGGAGGGCTTTTGGTACGAGTTTTATATTAAAATAAGGGAGGTAACTAACTTCTTATTTTGAAAAATTCGGATGTAACACACCCTATTGGGAAATAAAAATAAGGTGATGCTTTCTATGACTCCTTCGCTGATTTTGCAACATTTCTTTTCAAATTTTGTTCTGCGTACTCGCCCCCCTTGGCTGGTGCTGCCCTCGGGGAGCAAAGAATGGCTGGTACATTCCTGAGAGGGCAAGGGGAGGGTGTAGTGATGGTTAAGAGAGAAGTTGGCTCTGGGTGTAACTATGCCAACTGTTGGAGGGAGGCAAAGGGAGGGTGGTCTTTTACGCGGGTCTGAGATCTGGTTGCCTTTAATTCGCCCTGAGACTGCATGTTGCGTTAATGGGCATCTGTCAGCGGAGGGCTCAGGTTTCCCCACTTGCCTCGGACAGTGGAAGCAAAGGGGCAAAAAGCAAAGTAGACCGCTCAACCAGAAAGAAATATGCCAGGCCTCTGGAACAGGGGGTGCGGACTGAGAGTGAGTGGGCACCGCGGGCTTCTCCTCAGGCCCAGGGTGGGGCCGAAGGACTCAAGACCAGGAGGAGACCCCACCTTTGAAAAGCCCCTTCTGATGAGACTCTCTTTTGCTCCATCCTTTCAGATAGCAAGGGACTGGAATAGGTTATGCAACCCCTCATAGAAAAAAAATTTTTACACCTAAAATCTAGTTGTTCAAAACCAAGCCAAACACTGCAAGTGTTTGTAACAGAGTTGTTTGTCTTTCTAGAAGCCATTAATAAACAAATAAACTCCTTACATCCCCTTAGGTCTCTACAGTTTATAAAACATTTTTCACTGACACCAACTCACCTAACCCTGCAAGCCCAAGTGACAAATAGACTCCTCATTCTCATTGTAGAGGCAAGGGAATGGAGAGAAAGAAACCAAGCAGTTTGTCCAAGGTCACAGTCAGGAAGTACCCATTCCCTGATTGGGACGCCTCCCCCGCCTCTGGAAGGCATGTATCATTCCACTGCTTCCTGTCATTCCCTCCCATGAAATAGACACACACACAACCGCCACGAGACCTGGGCACTCTGAGAATACCTTCCAGCCTCCCCATCCACCTCCCAGAGAGGCGTTCATTTACTAATTATGCTGCAGTTTGCAGCATGTCTAATAGACACATGGCTCTGGAACTGGCTTTCCTTCACATTATAGTCTCTTCAGTACAGTTCTTCAAGGAACCCACGTTAAAACGTGCACACACACACACACACACACACACACACACACACACCAGCCTTTCATAGTCCCCTCACTGCCAAGACTCTTCCTATAAACCATATAAAATAAATAACCTCAAACATAACTCTTAATTGCTTCCAAGTCCATGTTTCCTCATCACTAAACTTTATTGCTTCCCAATCTTTAGGGCAAACTTCCCTCGGGACTTTGTCCCTTCCAGGAGAGAGGCCGAGAAAAACAGTTTTTCCTTGATTCGACCTGGGTGTCCCAGGCCGGGAGGATGAGCACGGGAAGGGTGTCAGTGTGCTCAGAGCCTGGGAGGGAAGCAGAGGTCTCTCAGGGTTGGGAGTGGACCCTCGGAGACAAAACGCGGAAGTTTTCCATCTGCTCGTTGCCCCCTACAGGCCACGTCCGCCATCGCAGCAAGAGCCCTGCAGAGCCCATGCATGTATTCTAGCCTTCGTTCGCGTTTCCCTGGACCTCCGAATCCACCCTCTATTTCCGGAGGGACTGAGTACCGGGACCCCACTCAGGGACTCCGTCCAGGGGATACTCTAAGGGCCACAGGCCTTGGAACTGGATGGACTTTCTAGAAATGAGTGCCGGAAGAAGTGGAAACCAGTTTAAATTCGTGTGTAGCCGAAAGCTAAAATCCTCCCCATAAAAAATAACGTTTCTTCTTTTTATTACAAATAAATCTGCCTAAGTGAAATAAAAAGTCGATATCAGTCGTGTTGTCTTTAAATCTCAGTGTAAAAGGAGATTTCAGTGCCTTTCCTCGCTGCTGCCCGCGTCCGCTCATATCAAATGTGGGTTTCAAGCCCTCCCTTCCCCAAGTGCTTGCGTTCATTATATACAATATTTGCATTTTTCCCTTCTGTTCTAAGCCTTCGTGGTTTAGCAAGCTTAAACCAAAAAGAGCTTTTCAGCTGAGCTATGGCCAGGCCTATCTCCCTGACATCTGCCGGGACTTTAAACAGCCGCTGGTCGGTTTGGGGTCTGCGTCTAAGAGTCTCCTACCCTCCAAGAAATAAAGGAGGGGGACCATCTTCAGGCTCTAGTTCAAGGTTAATAAGTGTCTGGAAGGAAAGTTGCCGGGGGATCTCTCCTCTACACTCCACCGCCTAATGCATCGGGGGAGGGGGGTGGGAAGCCCTGCGAATCTCAAGCGGCAGCTTGTGGCCGAGTGTCACGCTGCGAGCGCAGGCTCGGCCGGTATTGCTGCTATGCGCGGAAATATGAGCGAGTAATTTTATAAGTAACAAAGGATCAGGGATGGAATGAGGCCCCTGTTATCCAATGTCATTTAGAAGCCTTGGATCAGCAGCTTCTTGAGGCTAAAAGTGAATTCAAGAAGCCCTGCCTTTCCCTTTTCCCAGGGGTGTCGGCTAAATTTAGAAATAACCTCTATGTCTTTGCACAAATCATGTACCATTTGCTGTTTGTGTAAAAACCGATTAGCCAGACACAACTGTGAAACAACTTGTTACTTTTATAGCTGCAACACACAAACAAATTTAGATCCGTTTATTTTTCCTTGTAAAAAGAGATTAGAAGGGACCCGCCCGGAGACTGTGTGGTCCATAATCTCTTCTCCGTGAAGGTAACTGTTGCTCCTCTCGGTGGCGGTTGATTATCAAGTTCTTGTTTATCAAGTTAAACGATCTCACCCCCGGCAGCTTGTTTTATTTTAGGACTCTGATCCAGAAGGAATGTTTACTCAGGACACAATAATGTTTACTGTTTACCAGGGAGATCGATTCGGTTTTTGCGAGGAAGGGTCTTTTAAAGCGACTCCCTAGCCCACGCCGACAGCAGGGAAATAAGGCTCGGATCAGCAGCCGGGAGGCATCTCCGCGACCAGGGAGGCGAGGTGGACGCCAGCGCCAGAGACTGGCGGCGTTTTGCAAACAGCACGCGCATAGGGCCGAGCTGACAGTACTGCTACCCGCTCTAGTTGAAAAAAGCGATTTCGCATACGTAATGGTAACAGCTAAATTAATTAAGAAATAATTAGAATTGATGCCATTTGAGGATATGTTATTGGTGATGGGAACCGGCTTCCCGCGTCTAGATGTTTCATTTCTACCTTAATACTTAAGGTTGCAACAGCTGAAATGCACATTAAAAATAATCCGCAAGGACATCTCCCCAT